TTATTATGCATTATTCATCTCAAACATCTAAACGTAAAATAACATTATTTACAGTTGACCTAGTCCAATTAATAATTATAACCTTATTATTACCTGTGGACGCGAGTGCCAGTGTTTTAAATAATAATTTGTTATTAACGTTCCGGCCAACATTTCCACGTAAATCGTAATCATATTTTCTTCAAAATATATACAACACAATTAAAACAAAGTGCTAGTTTGCATACAAATTAAAAGCCCGTGTAATATACCTATGATGTTCGAACTTTGATGCGTATATTTTCTTAAAATAAGAAACACGTTTGTAACGAAAAAAAAAATATAACAATAACGATCATACCTACTCAAAAGTTATTCAAAACAAATGACAAAATAGAATCGAAAAAAAAAAACTAGTTACGTCTAAAAACCACAATTTTTTTCTCCGGACAGAGAATGTCACAATTTTCATAGTGGTTTTTCGGTATACAGACTACGCCACTTATTATGAGGAGCTCGACAAGTGTCTACCACATATATACCTAATAAAATATTATAATATAGTCACCGTTGTTTTAGTGACACAAAACTCGAGTCTGATTAATGCTCGAGTGTCAGAAAAATCGTCGAACCGCACAGAGTGCTCGGAACTATAATTTTGACGAATGGACCTCGGTCGTCCGCCAAATATTATAACATACATATTTGATATTTTTAAACCTATATACACCGTAGTTATATCGATCATTGTCCGACTCTGGGGCAGCATATATATTATATACAGAGGGCCGAATGCTGTGTCGGAGACCGCGGGCTGTCGTGCAGCCTCGTCGTCAGTATATAAATATATATTTGAATACATATAAACACATATATTACACGAACACGTTCACTGGGGGGCCCGGACTATTTCGTTGTTTGAAAATATAAAATATTGGCCGTTGCATATCTCTAACGGAGCACAAACCTATATAATACTTTGACCGTATACAACACTAAAGTGAGGATTCATCGTCCACGGAGTTCTGATCCAAAGTGTGATTATTCCAGTGTATTATAATTGTAGCCAAATGAACGAGAACAAAAACCAGAACAAGAAGTAAAAAAAGAAAAAACCACGAGGGAAGTGAAGTCAACGACGTCATCGTTCCGACGGTATACGAATTAATATTATTCATATAGTTGCAGTTTACGGTCGGAGTGAATTCTGAGAGGGAAATTGCTAACGACGGCGAAATTATAAAAATATTTTTTTTAAATAATATAAATACATAGAAAAGTAAATACTAGGTATTTTTTTTACGACGTGATGAGTTTTTGATATTTTTTTTCGCAATCATAACTGACTATACGCCGTGACACGAAGTCTGCTGCAATAAAGATAACGACGAATCGCACATTTTCATCCCGACGAAGAGTCTCGTGCTGGCGAATAGTTCGATAATGTCCCCTCGAGACAAATACAACCGAGCGGGACACGAAAAGACGTTTCGTCCAATCAATCAAAATACAAAATCAATTATCAGTTTTGTTGACGTGTTTCGTCTTCTATAAAGTCGACTGAACAACAAAAATCCAAGTATCAAATCTTCATCGGGTCTCTGCGATGATTACATTATCGCCGCATATCGTAGTACAATTCGAATAGAATAATGAACTGTATAACTATAGGAAATAATAAATCGATATTGTTATGAAATCGTGTTGTTATCGAATAAACAAATGGACAGATTAAAAATATTTAACAATTAAAATCGTTTTACAAGGTACCTATATTATCTTATTTATATAAAGAATATTATACAAAAAAATGCTGATTTATCAAATCTCGGATAGAAGCGACAGTATGACGAGTCCTTCTCCGCATATAAAGCGCTGAACTCGGTAAACATTTGTTGTCCAACAAGCCCGACTTTTGTAATAGCCCCCAGGCTCCCTACCAAGACCTTTTCGAAGATATGATTTAATTATACACCTTATGGCTTATACCTATGAGGGGCATTTTGTGTAAAATTCCGCTACGTTGATTTTTATTGTTGTTCGTGTCAAGGTAAATGAAATCAATTCAAAGTGGAATTCAAAATACTAAATCTATTTATTAGAGAAACTTTTCGAAACACGCCTCTTTAAAATATAAACTTTTAAACTTTTTCACCTCGTTTAAAAATAATAATAATAATAATATTTACTAAACCTGGAAGGCAGGCGAGCGCGGTTTGTCTAATTATAAATCAAGGTTAACAATACACAATATTTTCATATTATTAACTTGTTTAACATAACATGCATATTTTATGCATCGCAACATAATCGATAATATTAATGTCCAGACCACGTAGACTTGTACTTTTATATGATGAAACGAAATAAATTAAATCATTATAACGCGTATAGATTAAACATGTATTCATATTATGCGATAATATAGGTATATTGATACATTTAGATTAAATCTAGATACAAACATTGTTTTTATATAATTAGTTTCGGTATCGATTTACCCGACTCTAGTCATATTCAAAATAATTTTAAATATAAAAGTACAAAGTTATTCGTGTTTACCATATACATAATATCATGTAGCGTACAGAGCAAGTATTAGGTCATTTATCTTGATATCCACTCATTTGAATGGATCGACCGGAAGTCTTGACAACTCTACAAAACTATACCATACAATAAATCGTTACGAAGTCACATCAGCCGACGTTTACGGACGTTTGAAACAATAATATGATGAGCGAATAATGCGGTGGAAAATCAAATGGTAGCCTTCGATACGGACGACATATTATTATTCGCCTTCAACGACGTATGACACGGTTTAATATACGCCACAACAATCGTCATCGGACCACCCGCTGGGCATAAAAACACCGATGTGGCTAAAATAATAGTTTTATATTATTATTATTATCGACCATTACGACGCGGTTATAGGTTAGGCCCCGTTCTGCAGTAAAAGAGTAAGTGGCGGCTGTAGTAATCGATGGTGCGCGTTTTATAGAAATCGTTTCATTTATATTTCGATTTACAGGACATTATACATAATAATAAAATAATATGTAATAGCTGGCGTACAATATTATCATGACACCGCGCGCGACTGACTGCCGGGAATCCCAATAATAATAATAATAATAATAATAGGAATTCCGAATTATATATCGTCGCGGGACGACGTGCAGGGGGAGAAAGAAAAGGAGCGGCGTTCAAAAGAAAAGAAAAAAATAAGAAGATGAGGAGGAAAAAGAAGAATATATGCGTAATAATATATATATAAACCGAGAGCGAATCAAATATTCACCAAAATCGATAAATTACCAAGTAACGCGAACACGACGTCTCATTGGTATTCAGCAGGTGTTGTTCACTATGTGGACGCGGGACGCGTTTGTACGATAGAGCGACCAACATTTATAATATATATAATATGAACACACATAATACTATAATATAATGACGTGTGTAGAACAATAGGACCGCAAAGGGCGGCCGGGGAGGAGACGAGACAATAATAATGCATTAATTCGTCCGTGGGTTTCGGTTTTTGGTTTTTTTTCGAACGAGCCACCCAAGTTTTTCGGGGCCGAAGAAATTCTTCTCATCTATCGAAACCAAAACAAAAAAATATATTAAACCTCGAGGGTTCGTTTTAAACACTCGCGCATTGCTTTTGAAAATGAACTGCTGCTGGTGGGCGAGAGCGGTCCCTCCGATTCGTATACATTATTATTATACACAACAAGATGGATAATGAAATTATGAAATCCATTTCGGTGCCGCTTTGCCAGTGCGGTTATATACGACAGGACCGAGGCGAACTTCTGAGAAAGTTTAATTGCACTATGCTGATTTTGGGCAAACGACGGAATACCGTACCTACCCTAATTTTTTAAAACAACACCCTCGTAGAACTCACTATACGTATAGTGTCTATGGCTGTACTATTATAATATATTATAGTAAGTTATTCCGATTATTGCTGTAATCACAATAATATATTTCCTTAAAAAGCACCACTATTACATATAATGATTCGCATAATAATAAACGAGCGCTTTCAGAAATATACAATAATGAAATATACTCAATATAATATTTAAGTGGGTATATAAAAGTGTCTATTATTATAATAGCTGAAACTGTCAGTATGATTACGACATTACTTAAATTTATTGAAACATATATTATATGTTATATAGAGGTAATTTATGCACAGGTTTCGACGTTTCGTTAAATCGCTGTTTCAATTATATATTGCATAATGTATAACAAAATAAAAATTATATAAAAAATAATAAATTCATTTTTACCGGCGGAAGACTAGAAACAGAATACAGTTTATATTTTTGAGTAATTTTACGATTGGAAAAGCGCTATGTATGATATTTTATATTTTTTTTTGTAATAATTCGAAAAATAAAGTAAATGTGTCGATCGTCAACAGTATATAATATAACATACCATACACAATGTATAAGTAATAATATAATGTATGATACATCATACATTGTTTATGTAATATTTTGTTTTAACAGCTATTAAAGCAATTATTAGGTATTAAACCCGTTAAAACTAGTGCGAGATTATATTTAAAGCAAACAAAATGTGTGAGTTGACGACAGTGAACAACCCTTAAAGTATTTTATATTATATTGCCATCGTTTTATTGCAATACGGTTAATGACGCGTTCAATTGGCTTTTAGTATTTATCCTGTTCAGCGTTTGTGACCGTCGGGCAATACATTTGGTTATAGAGCTTAATAACAAACGACCCACGATTTATGACTCGAGCTTTTTCATTAATAGCTTTCACGGATAAGCAAAAACGGACATGAAATTACTTTACGGTCTTCGAATTGTTTTGGCACATCATACACGATTTACAACCACACATAAAATAACCCTCTTATTCGCTCTCCTCGGCACAAACGGCATCATATTTGAACATGAATATTTATTGGTCTAATCCAGTCGTGTAGATAATGTTTATTACGTACGTGTATAAAAAACTCACTTGTGACAAATTATTGAACTTGAACTCTCGACCGTCGGGAAACTCTTCGCCGCCCTGAAACTGCTTGTCTTCAGAGCGGATCAGGTTTCCATCTTGATCTTCGTCCTCGGTCCCGCTGACCACGGGCCCCTGAGATCTTGCCAGGCCGTCGATGTAAGATTCGAGAAACGCATCACCTCTGCAAAAAAGAAAGCACAAAAAATCGAGATCAATAAGACAATTCGAAGAATTAAAATAGAGGTAATATGTACAATATTGTATATGACGTATGCTATAAACGTGTCAATTTAAAATAGAAGTAGGTATCTATATTATAGTTTATTTATTTCAAAATTGTGGTTCAACTTCCTTTCACTGCATCGCGAATGAAAATGAATATTTTATATTAATATATACCTACGTTTGTTATAAATTTTCACCTTGAGCAATATAGACTATTTATAGTTTTACATAATAAATCCAACATAAATCTTTCAAGTCATAACTCCTACCAATACTGCAGATTGATTTAAATTAATTGTATGTGTAATAAATATATAAACTATAAAAACAACGCAATATATAGTGACATAGTAATCTAATTTTAACAAAGTTCTTGTTATTGTTTCGCTAACAAAATATAATATAATAAAGTTTACCCAATTTCGGCATAGGGCAAAATATTATTCCCCTAAAATATAAAAATATCAAACACAGACACATATATAATTTATATATATTATTATATCCCGAGGGAGGGGACTTGTATATCTGGATATAATTGCTCAAATAACCATTTAGATTTTATCGTTTTATACATATAGGCCAGGCGTCAACGTTATTAGACGCCTGACTTTTTATGGTTGGTATTATCTCATATAACTTTAAATAATCAGAACTCGTATAAAATATGATTTTTTTTTTTTTTACTAAATCCCTGTTTTTCAACAAATATAGAGATTTTGCGTGTGCAGCTTTGATCATTAAACTAAGAAAATTTAATGAATTATAATAAATAAGAGCCGCGCTCATAATGGAGCAAGACACAATTAATAACGTTGCAGTGTGCTGTTTTGATAAGCAGGGATTAAGCAACCTCGACGGCCCCTTTTGGCGGGGGTTTATTACCAGACAACCCTTTCAACCGAGGGCACACAATTAGCGTGTGCGTGTGTGCGTAACTGTGTGTATGACAACGGACGAAATGGTAACCCGGATAGAAACAACGTTCTTTGTTTATCGCAGCTCACAAGTCGCTTTGGGTCTCCTATGTTTTGTAATAATGGCACTTGAGCGACAACACCACGAGCGGGGAGGGTGGGAAGCCACATCAAACCAAACAACTTTTCAATTATCTATGTACCCAGAATGAAAAACTCTGCGGACCAAAAGCAAACAGCGTGTTTACGTATTTATTATTAAACGAGTTAAGTGATGAGAGTGAAAAAAAAAGTGTCTCTTATATAGCTGGTACCTATATGGACCTACGGTTATAAATAAATATATTTAGTCCGAATAAAGTAAGAAATATATTTTGAATATTCCGGGCCAACCCGAAGGCTGACGGGGCTTATGTACTGGAGATAAACGACTGGATTCACATTATGGAATGGATTAGAGCCCTTTAAAAAGCTTCTTATCGACCGACATGGGCGTTCGGTGCAGGCTTTCAAAGAGGGTAGGTAGAGGATGATATTTAGCCAACAATGGTGATTTAGACTTCAGATGTTATAGCGGAGACAAAATAATCGGCTTACACGTTACACAGATGCTTTTATGACGAAACAAACCGATGTGCTTATAAGAAAGTAATTATTTACTGACTACTCACAAAAGATGACAACAAATAAAATATTATCAATTTTAATAATAATTTATATTATAAAAATATATAAAACAATAATTATCTAGTGGTCCTTTATTCTTGAAATGTATCCAAGTTCATTAATTAGTTGAAGTATGCAGCTATATAGTATTAAGTAAATTTAACATAATTACCAATTAAAAAAAATCATAATACTACTACAGTTTCGCCGATATATAAGAGCGCGTTTACTTTAGTGGTGATATTTCACTTATTATTTTTGTTAATGTAACATCGGTGTATAGCCGAAATATATATTGTGTTATTATTATGTTCAGTCGATCTTTATTTCGCTTCGACGACTTGGCCATTAAAGTTACTTACATTTTATCGTTATTACTTACGCACGTCCGATTATAAGAATAATAAAAACATCATTCGGATTCAAAATAATAGAATAAGAATTTCCAATGTTGTATACTTCATAGAACAAACAAAAATCTATAGCAAATGAAGAAATCACAAAGAATCAATAGGTGTAAGTATGTATATAACTATCGTAATATTTCATCGGGACTCAAAATGTATATTGTAATTTAGTTTCGATCAATTCTATCTATGAGTCAACAACTTAAATTATAATAATTGTGTATAGGACAGTTTTCACCATAAACAATGGTCCGTAATTTAGATGTAATATTCGAAAACGGTGTTCGATGATTTATGTTACAAATTCAGAGTGGTATTTCAGTCATTTCAGATATGTATTCAACGCTCCGCTGCAGTCTCTACAGTTTAAGTACAATAGTCAATAAATCGTAGGTACCAAATATTGTAATCACATTAATATATTATCATAAAATCGCAACTATTTTAGGTTTTATGAATAATGTATGTAATAGTATTTTAAACGCCTATATAGAAATGAATAGACATAATACCAAAATGATCGGATAAAGGGCGACGGTTAAAATAATAATCATACACATATACATAAACCAGTACACCTACGGCGTGAAAAGCATCACCAAGTATAATTGACGGGAATGCTATTTTCATGGAGGGCGTCAGTATATTAACATTATCATCATTCCAACGGCACCCGATGCATTAAACCTGGTTCAGAGAGATATCAATTAATTTCATCCCGGAAGGCAAATAATTAGTTTTGTAACCCCTCTCTGAACTCTCCGTTTTAAAGGGAAATTCATTGACAGGAATTTATATAATAGCTATATAGGGTTATAAGAAAAAAAAATATTGATTATAATTGAGTTACACATTGATTAAATCCATACACATTTTTAGACACAATATATTGTTTCAACTGATATTTTCGCAATAGTTTGTTTAAAATTTTAGAGTAAACGTTGTGTATAATATAAATATATTAATACAGGCATATAGGTGCATATATATAGGCATATAGGTGCGTACATTTATATACAATTTCATTTATTTACATAGGTTCTTTTCTTAAAAAATTTTAATTCTGCAATATGGCATATTGTTTATGGACGATTTATACACGATAAACGAAAACATTTATTTTCATTAAGACAGCTGACAGAGTTATCATTAATTTTTTAATAAAATAAATAAGTAGGTACGTCTGAAAACAAATAAATGTGTTAATTGCCTACTCCTCCCGAGAGGATTTTCATTGTTTTTTTTAAAAAAAAATAATAAACGTGTCTAAAGTTTTAAACTGTTATTACTTTTTAAATTCAACAGAGGTAAAGATGAAATCCCTGCGGGGCATGTTTCCATGTCAAATCCAATAATCCGGGCCACTGAATTTGCCAAGGAATCCTCTTTCAAAAAAAAAAAAAAACATGTATACCCGAGAAAAGGGTATAAGTTATATTTTTACAGTGTGTTCTACCGAACGGAAGCCAATTTATTGGTTGTTGCTTGCCCACCGTATTATGAAGTCATAAGGTAATAAAGGATTATTATATCTGATAAAAGGACAGCCGGGTGGCCCCATTGTCGGTTCCCTTGCAGTTTTAATACTAGAATGTCACAGACAGACGCGTGGTCGCCATGGAAACTGTCTGCGAATCCCTACTACCCTAGTATGTGTTTTAGTTTATACACACTGTATATGTACGTGGACAAAAAAAAAATTACACTTCTTGCAATCACCCTTTGTACCGAATGAGTCATTTCAGTTACACCACGAGTTCGTAACACCCTTTTAGAATCTCTCCAATTTGAATACGATGATTTTTATACATGCATTCAGAAAAACCTTATGATTGCATAACATAGAATTTCATCGCTAAGTATATACTGTATACATTATAATTTTATTCATTTCATTCGTTCGTTCTTTTGAGGTAAAACATCGGGTAAGACCATCAAAGGAGAGATGCCTTATCTAATTATACCAACCAAAATAAAGCCACTTGAACTAAGTAGGATTTTGTGTAATAATAAATATTTTCGGTATAAAAGCTTTTGATAGAAAACCTGCAGATAATAAGACTTTTGATATTAAAGCTCTAAAAAAAAACCCTAAAAGGCTAAAATTCATTTAAAAAAACAAATTATTGAGGTACCTACTTATTTTGTTTTATTCTTTAAATTAATATAATATAATACTTACATCTACCAAATATAAATAACTATTGTCTATTAGGTATTAGGTCACAGTTGTTAATTAAAAATTCTTAATTATAAAATTTTCACGTAACTTACACGTGAAAATAAAAATATATATATATATAAGAAATCATAAATATGACAGAGTTTTAAGTATCATATTATATATATATTATATTATACTACCTATATAGTAAACATTTGGTAAATACAAATATTAAAATCCACTAGAAATCAAAAAAATAGTTTTTGTATAATATACTATATTCTGTTATAAGTAATATGAAACAAATTTACAAATGATAAAACAAAGGTACATTAGAGGATTATACCAACAGAAAAAAAATCAAATGCCTATAAAAACACTTCTAAACTGATAATAATTATTAATTAATGAAGACACAAAACAATATAATGTGAGGTATAATAAACTACTCACATCATAATATGAAAGAGCATAATTTAAGTTTCTCAACTATAATATTATCATTATTAATGGCTATGTTCAATTAAAAAATTATTAATGTACAATGGCATTTGGCAAATAAATCATTTTAATTTTTAAAGTGACAAAATAGTTTTGAATCCAAAAAAAAAATGATTCTGAACAGATTGTCAGTTAAAATCCATAAATTGCCTGGATCTTATTCAAAATATATCAAGAATTCTTAACTTTGTTAGCGAATACATTATAATATTATGGTAATTTTACTAATATGTATTCCAAAATAATACGTAAATTCGCAACATTTTAAATCTTCTTAGAACCTTAATCAAAACCAATTCAAAGAGTTATTAGCTATAGTATATATAGGTATATAGAACTGAGTAGAATCAAATCTGACTTCATGGACGTTAAGACGTTTAATCCGTCAATATAATGTACGCACACATTCATCATTTTTAAATTTTAAGATAATATGATGATGAATGAGTAGATCGAAAAAAAAATAGTGCGTTTTGATTATAAAACATAACTGGTACAAATGTATAATTTTACATTGATCAAAATTAATACGATATTACAATGTGTGGGTCAACGTCTTGTAATCATTTTCATCATCCTTCACAAAACGAATTCACGGTCAGCCAAACAAATAATAAAACAAGTTTTATACACAGCATAGTGCATAGATTATATATTACGCAAAAACAGGTTGTCGATCTATAAATTTGACCAATATCACAATAATAATATTATAACAGGTAAAGATGGGAATATACAAGCGAGTTCTAGCCGTACCACGTGAGTATATATTATTATAATAATATATCGGTTGGTTTCTACACAAATTTACCTCAGCCCCTGGGATCGGGTGACATTTTGTGTAACCCTCGTGTACATTCGTACACCCTACTACACAATTGACGTCCGAGACCTTTGCGGCTTACTGTGTATTTTATTTTATTTATTATTATTATTTTTTTTTTTTTGACGATCAACTGGGCCAAACACGAGCAGGTCTGGACATGTATTATGCATGTCGAGGAAGCCGAGCACGCGGTCTAATCAACCGGAGAGGAAATTCATGAAATATTCACAGACCCAAAGGGAGCATGCATCTAGACGCAAATACGAGGAAACGTATCAAGATATTCGCGTTAGCCCATTAAAACATACTAGCCTAGAAATATATTCATAAGAAACTGATCGGAAAAACGCAAATTTTCATCGTTTAGACATTAAACAAAAATAATTCTAAACCTAAAAATGTCAAAAACAAATTAAGTTTTAATCCAAGACGGCAAGACCTCGAAATGGTAGCCGTGAATAATATGAACAGTTACCATAATTCACAGTTCACACAAAACAGTCGTTAATAATATAATGTGAATGTATTTATCTAATAATAATCTCAAACTATTAAGTACTTTGAAAATTGTTTTTCCCGTTCATTAAGAATAAAATAAACTTTATGATTCGGATAAACGCTATACTTATTACATTTTATTACCTAGTTGATTTCATTGAAAAGTTTGGTTTATATTTTCCTTTACAACGCCAAGTATATCTATATGTATAATTTAGTAGTAACGTATATATATATATAGACTTTTCTAAAATTCTTCTAAATGTTTATTATCAAAACAATAGTTATGAAATACCTACATAATAAACAATACACAAATACAGATATTTATATTTAATTAGAATTACACGCAGTGTATTATTATAAGCTACCTAACCATTATTATAAATTATTTCCTCAATGAAAGTAAAATAATCATGTTATATTATTATTATATGATAATAATATTTAATTATAAATTTTATTTTTTGTTTACCGATAACTAAACATTTCCTTATTCGACCAAATCGGATTATTTTTTTTATTAATGCAGATTAATGTAAGTACTTTTATTTTATATAATTAATAATTAATAATATTAAATCGCAGGATTTATAAAAGAAAATTTGTTTGGGTCGATTTAAGAGAATAATTTAAATCAAGGTCCTTTTTTTGTAAATTAAACTAAAATTCGGCAGAGAGAAACCTCTGCCTAACAGTCTGTGTACAATGTACACACAAATTTGACTTTATAAGTGTCTTACAAGCGGGTTTTAATGGACAGGCGGACATCCTTTCAAAGACGAGCGGGAATTGGATTTAATTAAGCATAACGGTATGTGGGACAGTTCGTTTCGTGATAAAACTTCTTCCCGAAAAGGGGAGGAAATAATTTCAATCGTTAGGGCACCATTGTTTCAGCATGCTTTTAACGATAACCGATTTGTCGGTCCCTTATTTTTTTTATTTCGATTCAAATCTCGACTGGAGTGTTTCAGCTTCAAATCTACATCGAAAGGACTAAACATTTGTGTGTTCATCAAAAGAGGGAGAACAAAAAAGAAAATATAATAATTTTTCTTTAAAGAATATGAAAATGCCCTTTATGTTGGTGTAAAAACGAAAGGACAGAGAATCTGGTAATCGGATTAATCGACTGAAACGAACGGAAACTTTTGAGGGAACAATACAGAGTACTTAACAACAAAAAATATATATTGTATGTTGATAAGGCGACGGTCTGTCGATTCAGACTTAAAATCCAATTATGTGAAAGTTTGAAATCTATTAAAAATGTCCAATATTGTGTTCAATTATTATGTGAATAACTTTCCTGGAAAATTATTAATGAAGTTTATAACTGCAATTTATTGATACTATTTTTCTTCAAAAACCCCGATTTTTGATAAATCAGTACTTATAAAGTTATTTTAATAATTTTGTCACCTATTTATAAGTATTCGGTGATAGTTATTATTATCGGCGTATCATTCAATTTCATGGTTACTCGTATAGGCAATTTATAAAATATATATATATATATATATATTGTATAATATGGTCTATAGGTAGGTATATAATGTATAAGAGATATAACTATATATTTGATGCAATTTAAATTTATTTAAATATATTATGGCAAATTGTTTTTGTTCGGTTATTTTATAAAATACTTTTATTAAACACAAGATAAATTGAATGGTAATTAAAGTTTAATAAAAGTTTTTAAAACGTTCTATATTTGTGAAAACTTTTTCTTATAAAGAAAGAGCAATTTTTCGATTAACTTTTTCTTACAAATAAAGAGTAATTTTTCAATAAACTTTATAGAAAATTGTATAAGTGGTATCTATACTTGTATTCAATATTATGATAGAGTTCCAAGAAGATTAAAAATATTTTATACATCACGAATTGGGAAAACTTCATAGCTAAGTAAAATGTTTTGAAATCAGGATTATAAGAGAAAAATGTAATTAATAAATGCGACAACCAATTTAAAAAGAAAATATATATTAGTACCTATAGCTAAATATATAAATATATAATATATATAGCTTTTCGGATTCTATATTAAGATGTATTTTTTTAAAAATGTTTAGCTACTCCATGAAAATATATAATATGCATCATATAAAATAAATATATGTCATAATATTATACACAAACCACAACATATAATATAATCACTACAAACCATGTGTATTTGTTATTTTTTCATGTATATACTTTTAATGGGTGTTGTGACTTGTGGAATATGAAAGTGTACATTTTTTTTTTTAGAAATGGTTAAACATTCTCTAGGCGCACTAATAATAAAACGTTACATTTCAAAGTATACCTGATGGCAACCGTATAGTGGAGAACATTATACGTTTATATCAACAAACAATTATAATAATATTATATACCGAACATATTACACCAAACCGTATACGTCTTCAAAACTTATGAACGCGTGTGATTGAACAGTCCTCAAATACGTCTCAATTACCAGGTAAGTTTTGTTTAAACCCTCAATATAAACCTACACGTTTTTTTTCTATACATAATACTTATGTTATGTTTCAATCGATTAAATATGTTTTTTTTTTTTATACAAAACAATTTTTCCTCACCTAAAAAACAATCTTTTCTTGCCGATTTCTGCATATCGACGGCTGCAGTTAACCGGCTTAAGCGAAGTCGGCGACACGGACCGGCGATTGAGTTTCACAAAACTCAAACTGTGATTCAGAGATGTCAATAGACCGCGGTCGGACGTCGGCGACAGAAACGTGGACGCGCCGTTGCACAGGTGTTCGATGCTTGGCGACGGCATGCCGATGGTCTACAGGAGCAAGCTGGAAAACCGCGGAGTTTAAAAACAAATTGATCGGGGGGGAGATCCGAAATGTATAGTGTTACGGGGACGGACCACGGGAATAGAGAATTAAAATAATGACGAAAAAACGACCACGACAACACTGACCGGGCACAGAACAAATCGATTGTTTCGTGTTTTATTTTTTTTTTTTTTTGTTACAGTTTTTACCATCGTCGGATCCGGTGAACCGTGGATCCTGCGTGGAAAAAGGATACGGGCAAATAATTCCGAAAGACGTGACACACGAGGCGAACGGCAGAAATACCACATTAGGGTCAAGGAATGCTAAATCGAGTAGTCGCCGTCGGCGGGCATTATTGCAGCACACACATAATATTATTACATATTATTATAATATACACGTGAGCGTGTGTTTAAGCGTGCCCCGTGTGTGGGCTGAGTTAATGGCTGGTACAACTACAACGATACAGATTACTTTTTTTGGAAGTGACGGAAAAACCGATATTAAATGAGTGAATTTTTATTCGGTGGTGGTCAATGTGTCGCGGCGGCCATGGTATTTGAGGAAATTTCGGGGATAAGAATTATAGCAATCGTAAATACATATTTTATTTACCATAATCTGAAACCCTAATCACGGCGGAGAGTACACACACACACACACACACAGACAGAAAAATGACGTAAACACACTCACAGAAACACACACGACGGCGGGACGACGCGAGAGAGTGCGAAGAGTACGTCCGTCGACCAGAGACGTACGAGCGCGACTGACGCGCGTCGAACGGACCGGCGGCAGAGTCGCCGTCGTGCGAGAAAAATCAGCGAGAACGGCAGCAGCGCCGCCTCTCTTCCGCCTACAACCCTTTTTTTTCCTACGCTCCAAAGTGCACCGAATCAATCGTTTCGCTGAACGACGATAACCGTTGCATTTCGTCTGACCTTTTTCATCCTTTACACTGTTTATCGAACAAACTTGAGTAAGTAGCAGAGAGCTATATTATACAAGTATACCAGAGAGAGCTTCTTCGTCTGTAAGAACGTCACGCTGTATGCAAATGATATATTATGTCGAATTGTGTGTATCAGGTACACCTCGATCGATGCTTAACACATACGTAGTAAGTCGTATTATAATATATATTTCACTGAAGCGCCTCCACAAAATATGCCGTCGATACTTTTAGTATCAATTTTACTATAACATTATACTCTGCTTAGCTTAGGTTAAGTCCTTGATGGGTAAACGAACCGGTTAATTACCTTGTTATCGTCCAAACGACTGCAGTAATAGCATTGATATATTAAAACATATAAATAAAAAACCCCGTTGGCTTATTATTATGATTATATTATATTATTCAGCAAATTATTATATTATTATAGCATATATAGGTACAAGAAAGACACAGCGTCGTTGCGTTTAAAAGAAATGTTTTTAAACTTGATATAAATGCCACTTTACAAAATTATTGTACACACACATGAACTAATTCATTAATTTATCAAGCTGGAATTCAGTAGAGTTGACTGAGTTGAGTAAAATCTCAGTGTCAGTGCTTTAACACAAATCATTTATATTTACTATCATCCGATGATAAATAAATTATTATTGGTATATTATAATATAATACATATAAAATACGAATCAGAAATACAGCACATTACTAAATCGTGCATTATATTATTTTATATTGATAAAATATATTATATGATGAACACAATAAACTTAATTTAAATGATATTTGATTAGATAAAATATCACAAAGTATGGGTGGATCTTGGTAAGTACCTAGCAATGATATAAAAACCACTTACCGAAAAACTTCGGCAATGAGAGGGAAATAATACGAACAAATCATGACGTTATTTTTATTTTTTTTTATGAGCAAATAATTATCGTAATAAAGTTTATAGTATTTGAACACGATTCTCGTAACATCGTAGTTATAACTATTTTAAACATGGCGGGGTTAATGTCATATTTCGAGAGGCCTTGTGGAGTCATTAAGGATCCCTCAGTTTGAATTTTATCAAATTGTAGGGGATTTTCCGATAATTTCTAAGGGTTAGTTCTAAATTGACTTTTATTGCCAAAGAGATCGGCACGAAACGCTAGGGCAGACACGTCCCACGTGGGATTTAACAAAATCGTGCAAATAGAACATATCAGCCGGACAGGAGGAAACGAATCAACAAAGTAACTCTGGTTCCGGTTCCATATGGTTGTTACGATTTTTCACTATACGAAATTAGTTTAACGAACCAAAAGGTTTTCAAATAAATGTACAAAAATATTAAACACACATTTATTGCATGTTTGGACTAAAATAATTGAATAACATCATTTATTATTTGTCTAGGTTCTTGGATTTATTTCGACATTAGATAAATTATTAAAATCTAGGCACATGTTATGTTTAATTAATTAATTACGAAATTCAATGGAGAGCTAATTATTCAACTTGTACCATTAATGATAGGTACTAAATAGATATAATATAGTATACAGTTTACATTATAATTAGTAACTAGTATATTAAACCACTATAGGTACAGTCTACAGGTTGAACAAATTAATAATTTATCCAAGAAGTTTGATGGTACATTATCCGTCTATTATTTAAAAATAAAGATTATTATTATTACGTATAACTATTATTATTATGTTTGTAAATTAATTCAACCTATTTAAACTTTTTATTTTTTTTTTTAGATTTGTTGAGAATTTTAAATCGTGCATGAATAAAACACCGAACAAAATTCAAAGTTTGTCAATGGGGAATAATAGTTTCATCGACACATCGAAAACTTGACCGTACTAACTTTGTGACGAAAAATACATAAAAAGGCACTTAGACAATAAAACCATCGTCATCGGGTTTCGGACGTCTTCTCGGAGGGGACACGATATATTAAGTCCCAGAACGGTCGTCTAATTAACCACAATTGGACCCACATATAGGGGACAGTGACACATTCATTTCGGTTATAATATTATACATTATTCGATATTCGTCATGTGTCACACGAATTATTTTGATAAAATATTATAATATCCGACGTATTGGCTCGAGACCAGTAATTGGATAAAAACAAAACGTTGCAGTGCGTGTATAGGTTTTGTGAAATACGGTCCGCTGTATATACACACGAACTTCGGTGATGTTTAATTATTATTGTTGTTGTCGTCTGGAGTACATTCCTACACGCACGCAAGTCGATTAATCTATCGATATAATAATAGTATCGTAGTGCGTTTCAGGAGACCCAATGTCAACCGCTGGACACCGACACACAATCGTTGAATACCGCCATCATCGCTATAATCGCGATGGCTTAAATTATATATTATTATGTTTTACGCCCTCCTGCAGTAGAAATCGGTTAGCAAAACACAACGATTATTATAGTATAATAATAGTCTGTCGAAAATCGCACTACGAAACGAGGACGACACGGGTGATGTGTACATATGTATAGCAATTGATTTACACCGTGGAAGTCGTCTATCAACGGCGCTATTAAACAGCAGTACAGGAGCTTTTCCCCAGCAGTAGTCCGATGAACATACACCCTTGATGCATCGGTGATGAGGGTGAAGGGGTGTGCCGACGACGACGACGACAAGTCTTTATATGCTCGTATTATTATATCGTCGTCGCACCATCTAAATCGACTGTGGTCACGCAGACGGCAGCTATTGATAAACATTTCCGGACGACGACTTGGGGGAAAGTATATACCTACAGACGTGTACTGTGTACGTATATATGCACCGCGCTGTATAATATATATATATATATATAGAATTTCATCAGATAAAAGTAATGCATGTCACCGGCAAAACGCGGGGTGAACCCCGAAAACCACTGAACCATTAACGAAATGTGTGTTCATAATAATTTCGCATAATACATAATAATGTACGCACCACAAGTCCGTAATAACTTATACGACTGTAACGTAATAATACAATGAATGGCACGCGTATTCGATATATTCGTACGCGTTGGTACCCACAGATATAAAATACTATAAAATATTTTATATCTGTGTTGTTACCATAGATAAATGATAATATAAGAATGGATAGCCCATACCAGTTTCATGTGGGGCAGTGTGCTTTTTCGGGGAAGAGAGAACGTAAAGAGAGAAAGACTACATGGGACTTACATTTTAAGGTCATGTCCAAAAACTGTTTACAATATTTGTCAATTTCAAATTTGTATTTTGATTGTCACGCCTGAAAATGGAAATTGGAATACTCAAATATTACTCTCAGCTTCGCGTACATAATTAATTGAAATCAGAATATAGAATAATATAGATAGTTAATTATTACTGATTAATCATTGATGTTATTTATTATTATTTATCAATATTATTATCATTTATCAATTTTGACCCTATATTAACATTAAAAACGTATCACTAAGTTTTCTAGTGATAGGTTCTTATGTCCTATCCATTCTTATATTATCTATGGTTGGTACACGATATCATCTTCATAATATTATGCTGTTTGTTATTCGTGCAAATGCGCACGTCTTATGATATAATTATTGCAAACCGTTTGTTTACAAATTGCAAATGTCGGGTCTTCGATTTCACCCTCTCGGTTAATCCTTATCTCTATCCCCCGATCGTGTAGAATATACAATAAATTATAATATACATTACACATTACACAACATTCGGCTGCATACGCATGCAGGTCGACGGGCAAGGACACTATTCTTGTTTTTTTTGTTTTCCAAACAAACACCACTAAAACCGTACACGACAACGTCGGCCGTCGTACTTTTATATATAAACGCAATTGAAGTCAAGTGGCATTAGTCAAACGTGGGGTCTATTTAAATAACATTCACTCCCCGCAATCTATTTCTTACCGGCCGTTATACTTCGCCCACCGTCGGACTTCCACGCGGCTCCAGCCAACAACAACAAGACGGGACGCAAAAGCCGGGGACGCAAAAGCTTTTAAG